GCTGTCACGGTTTGTTAGCGTAGGAAGAATGAATGATTAAAAGGATGATGATGTTAAGGTTGCAGGTTAAGATAAATGCGGACTGATGGCTTTTTGTCCGGTATTTTTACACCTGGTGACTGAATGGGCTAGCTACATGGTACTTTCGTCATTTAACCATAGTGTAATGTGAATGTAAGCTAATTTCTCTTAGAAAGTTCTCCACAAACACACTCTTCTTAGATGTATGGCCACCGTGTGTGTTTTACCATAATCATTTAGCCAATCAACTAGTTCACGAAAAAAGTCATACTTCGAATCTGCCTTGCCTAATTCCAACTTATGAAGTAGTGTGGAACCTCCATAATCAGATTTTCTTACTTTGCTTAATTACTGACAAGAAAGGTCTTCGATTCTTGAACTCTCAAATTTTTTTTTAATTTAAAAAAAAAAAAAAAAAAAACTATGAACCTGCTCTTCTAGAAATATATAATGGTAAAAATATTAGCTTCCAATATTCTATAGATAAATAGTTAAAAATTGTAACAAATACTGATATTTGGCGATACAGCGCTATTTAGCTAATTTCAAAATTTTTAAAATGCATGTTTGAAAATTTGAAAAGTCAGCAAGCTGATGGATTCACGCAATAATAATAATAATAATAATAAATAAATAAATAAAGTGTAAAATAATGAATGGAAACATAAAAATGAAAGCAAGCATGTTTTGGCTGTCAATTCACACAAATGTAAAATTAAAGGTTTAATAGAGCTGATGTAAATTTAAAATTTGGTCAGAGTATAACAAATTAATTATATAAGCTTCCGAAATACAAAGCCACCGGCCGCCGAGCGGGAAAACCGCTTAACTACAGTTAGTTCTGCTTTGGTGGAAATCATGATGAACGAAGTAGCTGGATGGACGAGGGGTGTTTTTTTCCCCCTCTTCTATGCGTTACAAAAATACGAGCCATTTCCCTTAAAAAGGTCATCCCTTTCTTTCAAAATAAAAGCACTATAAATTTTTCAGCTGTTTAATTTTATTTAAAACACATTGCGAGCTATATTTCAATATTTTTTAAAATTGTTTACTATATTTTGCCAGAATTTTGCCGCTTTTTTCCCTTATAATTCCATAACACATGACTGAACCTTAGATGTCCCCCACCCGAAATTTTATTATTTGATGAAACGACTGTCAATTCTCAATTCGAAATATATTGTCTGATTCATTTACAGAGCTAGGCTCATCAGCTGATAAAGCGAGAATTTCTTCTGTTCCTTCATCAACCGTAATTTCCCTTGGACTTTCATATTTTTCACAACCACAGAAATCAGATTTTTCAGTTACTGTCCTGGGTTAAACCTGTTAATTTCAAATGCATGTTGTATATCCAGACCAGATTCTACGTATTTATACCACCAAATAAAGATACAGTTTAGAAATAAAAGTCTCCCTAAATTTTAGACCTTTGCCGATGAAATTGACTGCAATTAAAAATAAAATTATTTGCACCTTGCCAATAAATAAATAAATAAAGGAAAGGAAATGGAAAAGGCAGCAATTCGTATTTTAGTGAATACTAAACTTAATCGTGTAAAGAATCGTATTATAATTAAGTTTAAATAACAAACTGCAATGTTTTACAAGGCGAACACTGTGAGAATTTTCTCTTGATGTAATAAAGTTAGAGAAAATAAAGAAATTCTAGAATTTATAACGATCTGTCAGGCGCAATGCTAAAATTACGAGTTCGAGTGCTATGAATCTACTAGATTTGTAGCTGGCATTAATTTATTTAAATTGAAAATAACGTGTAATAGTGCCTTTGATTTACTCAGAATAGAATTTCACTAATAACACAATGTATCTGTAACAGAAATTATATATATAATTCAATAAAAGATAAAAATCTAAAAACTAAAGAAGAATATGTTAAGAAACAGACGCAATGAATCTGTTAGATTTAATACACAATAAAAGTACCTAATTATATGGTAAGTTTCAATTATAAAATTATACGTACAGTTTATTTCTGTAATATTTGAAAATACAAACATTATACATAAAACATTGTAAAGCATTATACAGAAAATAATATTTTGAATCTTCGTTTTGCAACGAATATGAAGGAAAAAATTTGCCTTTGATGACTAAAAAAAAAAAAAAAAATTTTTTAATTCTTTATTTTTCTTACATGTATAGTAATTCAGCAGTTAATTTTATATCTTTGTGTCTGAATGTATAAAGTAAATTATATTTCTTCTCCAAATCCAGTTAGAGTTCGAGGAAGATCAGATTGCAATTTTATTGGAAAAGTGATTAAACGTTTAAGACAAATTATTATAAAGCAGTAACTGGAAACAGCAACGCATAAAAATGAAAATACTTTTTCTCATTGAGAAGAACATATTATTATAAAGATAACTAATTTCCGAATCAATGTAAGTTATTTAAAATATAAAAATCTACTATATTTGGCGACGCAGCACTGTGCTGGAGATTCAGCTAAATTTTAGAATTTTCGTCAGGACATTCACCCTTAAGTGATCAAATGTTCCCCACTAGGGATTAAAAGCTCAAACAATTCCCTGCTACCAGTTAAAAAATCCAGTTTTTAACGATTTTATTCTTATTACCTACAGAATGGTTTCCATAACTGTTTCTGTCTCTCAACGATTTTCACTCGCACATATATACTAAAGCCGTCAGTTGCTTGCCTTAGCTGCAACTATTATTGTGTTTTCCTTGCTTGTTCGTCTCAGAATGTTAATTGCTTGTACGTCAAAAATCAGCGTAACTCGCAGTTTTCGTTTTCTATTCACAGAGTGAAATTCACGGACTCTATCAGGACATTTCATTTTAAACAATCTTTAAGACGTCTGCTTGAATTAATGTGAAGGAATATAGTAATCAGTCGCGTACATCCGATTACGTCATTTCATAGGAAACTATTCGTTGATTTTATACCAATTGACAAATTAGTTTAAATTCGTGTACAGCCTTCGGTTGCTCATTGGCTTAGCTACGGCTGTTATAAATAACCAAACCACTGAATGAATGGGCTGTTTTTCGGACGCAGCAAGATGATTCTATGTTATTCTATTTTGACCTATTCTATTCTCTTGTAACCGATGAAATTTGCAAATTTTCTTATGGCCATCAATGTAAATATCTGTTTATGACGAAAGGTTTTCGCCAAAAAACGTTCTTAATAAAGTTAAGGAAAAAAAACATGGAAACAGTACCTTTAGTGCGGTTAGTAATCACCATCTAAATCTATAATTTTCTGCCAACGTTTTGGTAATTTTTTCAAAGCCTTCGGCCTAGAAACTTGGTGGCCGCGAGTACAAAACTTCATTTCGGATGTCCTATGCAGAGTGGAAGATTAGCACCAGCAAGATGTAGCTGTAGGTGTGAAAAAGGTAAAGTCCGAAGGAACGATGTCGGGGCTATATGGTGGGTATGGCAAAAGATCCCATTCGAGTCCATACAGAGTCCAGCCGGTGAATGCAGACACATGTGGTCTTGCATTACTCAGCTAGACGGAACTCAACTAGACGTTTTTCCTTGATAGTAGCGTCAACATAGACTAGGATCTCGCTGTACATCTTACTGTTGAGGGTTTTAATTTTTCCCAGATGCTCTTCGTGGTTAATACCACGGCAGTCCTACCAGATACAAAGCATGATTTTTCTGTTGGTCAAACTGCGCTTTGCGAAGCTGCCGACGGGCACACTGGTCGCACATAAACCCTCTTTTTGGCCTGTGTTGCAGAAGTAAATCCACTTTTCATCATAACTGACGATCCGGTCCAGAATTTTGTCCTTGCATTAATATTTGAGCAGATCAGTGCAGGCTGACCACGTCTGCCCTTATCTATTTGAGTCAGCTCATGTGGCACGCAGCGATTGAACTTTTACATCAAGTTTAAGCGATACATCGCGTGACTAATGGACAGGTGACGGAGAACTGGGGCACCTGGCGTCTACCAGAGGTAAGGAGGGGCATGTCCCTCGTCCTCCACTGTCCAGCGCTTATCGAAGAATTAAAGAAGTTTGGTGAGAAACATGGCCTTACAGGGGCTAGGTGGCTGTACAAAGGCTACAGATTTTGGAACAGAAGGTGTAAGAAACATATTGCAGTGCATGTAAGTATAACATAAAACATAAAAGTAATACAATAAATAAATAGCGCAATATAAAGTACATAAGTAAAAAATACGTAAAAAAATAAATAAGTAGTGGAATGGAAAAGAGACAGCTGAGCGAGTGAAAGTCTTATATGACCTGGCAGATGTCCTGTCCCATGGTTGCAATCATGATAATAGTCTGACATATCTTATGCACAGCCACACGATTTTGTGCAATAAAGTGTCTGTGAGTGTCTACATCGCTGAAGCACTGACGTAGGTGAGTGGAATTGGTGAGAGGGCATTGATAGACGTAGTGGTCTGGGGAGCCTCCGCAGACGTGACTAATGGACATGGCACTAACGTCTAATTTCTTAGCAAGCTCTGGAGTGGTTACATACTGATCTTCTTCTACAAGTTCTCGCAGGCCGACCAGAGCGCTCTACTTCTCGAATGTCATAGTCCTTGTTTTTGAACTTTACGTACCAAACCTTCACAATGTCATATGATACAACACTAGTACCTAAAGCTGTATACATGATTTGGTGACACTCTGTAGCTGACTTTTTGCAACAAAATTGGAAGTAAACGATGGTTCTAATTTCGTAGCGTGGTAGTTCCTTTTCAGACGCCTTGTACTTAATGATAACGATATTTTTTTTTAATTTTACAGTTGTTCTAAAGCAAGTCTCTTCTCTTTCTTTCAAATACCAGAAATCGTTTGACAAAATATGATTAAACACGCCAACGCGAACTGTTTGTGCAGATGATATTTGCGGTAACGGGAAACTTTCGTTAAAACCCGATAATTACCATGCATTCAAATTTCTTTTTCATCTAAACGTACATATAATTGTAAGTAAACAGTATTTTGTTGCTTTTCTAGGTGGTTTCATTTTGGATAGTATAAAGAATGAAGAAAAGGCGTTGATAATCAGTAGCATGTTCGTGGCTATGGGAGCTTATGTTATTCCTTGGTGCAGAAGTCTTGTCACACTCCTCACTACCTTTGCCATAACCGGTTTCGCGATGGGATTTAGTAATACTGGTGAGTATTCTCTTACAATTTGAACTGTATTATACTTTTGTATAGCTAAAATAATAAATTTAAGAGATGCACTCTTAAACTTTACTAAGAGATTGACTTTTCTGACTGCATTTCGAAAAGTTAAACCTTTTTCAGGAAACATTTCTTCTCCGTTACCTCTTTAGTTCATTTCAGAAGCATGCAGGATTATTATAAAAGAGGCATGTAATTTCAATAATTTATGGAGAAAAATGCCGTAAAAGCTTCAAGACGAAATTGTGTTTTCTTATGTGTTTTTATTTATTTATCTATTTATTTTTAATACTCTGCGTGCAGCTATGAATTTTTCCTACTACCGTACTATTCTATACGACGACGTAAGCAGTCACTATCTGTTAGCGTAATTCAATTGGATACGTATACATTGAAGAAGGTGTTTTGCATTTCAGAATTCAGAAAAATGAAATCCTTACTGCAGTTCCAACAAACTTCGATGGAATCTCAGCTTCATTTCAAAGCAGAAAATCCGCACATGATTTGTAGAAGAAGATAAAAGTATGGGTTATGTGTAAGAAGATATGAAGGGGGAGGAACAGAAAGAAGAAAAAACTGTAGATGACTTGACATTCTCTAAAGAACAAATTAAACATGCTTGTGGCGTTTCCTAACAAAGCATAACGAAATTAACAACGAAGGCCAAATCTAAACTTCAAAATTTTTAACCTTTGCTTAAAAAAATTTGCGAAAAAATCTTTTGCACCGACGACGGGGCAACTGGTCAGCGGAAGTTCTTATCATATCGGCTGCTAAGGCCGCTTTCGTATAGTTCTTTTCCAGTTTTGATACAGAACCCCATTTCCCCCCACTGCAAGGCAGCGTACCAGCGTCTGAGCGTATAGCCAATGTCCACCCACCCCCCAACACTGAGATCTTCTAATTGCAATACCACGCCGAAGGCCAAAATGACTGCTCAGGTTACGCATAAGAGTTACCCAAGGATATGACCAACAACTAATCTCATACAGTAACTAATGTGTACAGGTAAAAACATTATACTATTCTAAGATGCAGAACACTATAGTAACAATGAAGTAAAAAGTAACAATGTATGTACAATGCAAGCCAAGTAAAATATAATAGAATAAATTAAAGCATCAGTGAAAAGATACGGCGAAGCATGGGGATTAAAGTAAGCAAATAATATATAAAGAATTCTCTGGGAGAAAGATCATGAGGTCTCTTACCCCTCTTCCCCTATCATTAAACTCTCGGAGAACTTTCGGCTGAACAGTATTTTAAGAGCTCCCATGCCGCAAAGACACTGTATTTAAAAACATCAGTGCCTTCTCGAAGCCGGATACAGGTTTTGGCAGCCGCCTTCCCTACCACTATGCCAACAAGGCGGCTGCGAAAGACGCTTTGAACAGGAATGAGGTGGCTGATCAGGTGGAGGTTTAAAATACTTACTGTTAAGCCTACCATTGAATTCTCTTCAATGTTTGGTCTTGTGTGAAGTCCCCTAGGATTCCCTTGGCCAAATGTAACAGATAATATTTCACTTTGAATGTGTGATGCTTGTTTAAAGCGGATGTGATTGTTACAAGGCCACTAGGAGTTCCATTTCTGTTAACGGACTCGGATGAACAAAGAATGCCTGCGTTAGTTCCTGCTGGCAAATGCATAATTAATACAGTTCTTGCCTACATAAACTACTGGAAACAACATTTTTACACACAGTGTTCATAAAAGAATACTAAAAAACATATATGAATAATCAAAAATGAGAACATACCTGATTACAAGTTAATAAAAGTAATGATAATATGCGTGAATACAAATTTCTGCGAATACACGCATACATGCGATAGAGAATTCATAGCTGTTTAAAGCAATATAGAAAATTACAAAATGATTATAATTTTAAGCTAATCTAAGAAATCATAAATACACTAAGTTCGTAAGGGGCTTTACTTTACTCTACCGACAGGCTAACTGGTCCAATTAGGAAAGGTTAAGATTTATAGCATACAAACTGCAATTGTAGCAGTATCTAGAAAAACTTGATAAAACAAAATAAAATCTCAACTTTGCATATGTGACCATTTTGTATTATGAGCATGGGGGAAAAAACTTCATAATGCATGCACATACCTCTTCAAATTTCATCATGACATTTTTCACTGTACTTCTTTTTTTATAAATTAATTGAAACTGTATGCTTCTTTTTCCTCGTAATATTCCGATATAAAGGTCTTTTGAAACTTGGCAATTTTTTAAGAAATTTAATAATACAGGAAACAGGTAAGGACACTTTTCGGTAGTCATCAGTTTAGCTGGATGATTCGGATGTCTAATTCTTGTAATCCTTTCCCCATTCTATAACATGAGTGACAGAGAGCTACTACTCACTATTTGTCGCTTGTGAATTGGCCTTACTTCCATTTAAAAAAATGAAAAGTGGCTGTTACCGTTACGTTACCAGAAGGATATCTGACACATTACGAAGATGTGTGTTTTCCTACAGAACTGCAGCATTTAAACCGTAAAACAGCAAGATTTTAAATAGTTTTAAGTATTTAAAAGACCATTATACATTAACGGCAATAGTTATACCATATACTTTCAAGACAAAACATTTAAAACATTCTGACAACATTAAAAAGAAAAAGAAAAAAAAATGAAAAGAAAAACTACCTTTCTTAATCTATGTTTGAGCTAGAAATTTCCATTTAATAGAGTAGCAACAAATAAACCATTTTAGAAGTCAAACAACAAAAATCAGCGTTATATTTTCAAATTTTCACAGGACTAGTATCGATGGTTTTACCTAACCATTATAACCTCAGCTGCAAAAAAGCAAATGAACGAGATAAGATATAATGATTAGATAAGAAAGCCTGGACATGAGATAAGCTGCTGGCGCCATCTGTTGATGAAAACAGAACTAAAACATAATTTCTTTAAAGGCTGAAGGCAAAGATGAATTGGAATTAGGGTCATCAACTAGAACAGAAAGATTTTTTTGAATGTGAAATGCCTCTAGAAAATCCAGTTCACCAATGGAAGATATTTTTTGAATAATTTTGGCAGCAGAAAAATTGAAAGGGTGATTTTCAGACCAAGACTGTTGGGCAACAGAAGACTTCTGTGTTTCCTTTTTTCTAATATATGCCTTATGTTCCTTAACGCGAAATTTTAACGCTTTCTTAGTTTGGCCAATGTAAATTAAACCACTCTGGCAAGGAAGCCTGTAAATACCTCAAGAATTCATATCCGGAATAGGGTCCTTGACTATGGAACTCGGAATTTTATTGATGGGAGAATAAACCACCCGAAAGTTAAATTTCTGCGAAATACGTGCAACTTTATAGCTAATTGATGGAAAGAAGGAAATGACAACAGAATTTTTATAATCTCTTAAAACAAGAGTGTGCCTTTTGGTTTGTTGAGCTGAGAATATTTTAACTGCTTGTTTAAAAATGTTGGGTGAAAAGCCCCTGTCAATAGCTATTGCTTTTAAATAATTTAGTTCTTCAACAAGGGATAGTTTGGAGGAGCAAACTTGAAGAGCACGGAAAACATAGGAATAAAATGAAGCAAACTTTTGTTTAGTCGGATGACATGATTTGAAGTAGGGTGGAAGGCAAACCGATGAAGGTTTACGGTAAACCGTAGTACTGAAATTGGATGTGTTACGTGTGACCAGAACGTCGAGAAACGGAAGAGAATTGAAAGTCTCAAGTTCAAAAGTGAACTGAATAGCAGGATCAATGGAATTCATTGTTGAAAGAACTTTATTTAAATCATCCTTATTACTAATAATGATCCTGCTATTCATTACTAATAATGATCCTGCTATTCATTACTAATAATGATCCTGCTGCTTCTGTTGCCCAACATTGTTGGTCTGAAAATCACACTTTCAATTTTTCTGCTGCCAAAATTATTCAAAAAATATCTTCCATTGGTGAACTGGATTTTCTAGAGGCATTTCACATTCAAACTATCTTTCTGTTCTTGTTAATGACCCTAATTCCAATCCATCTTTGCTTTCAGCCGTTCAAGAAATTATGTTTTAGTTCTGTTTTCATCAACAGATGGCGCCAGTAGCTTATCTCCTGTCCAGGCTTTCTTATCTCGTTCATTTGCGCTTTTGCATTTCACATCCAAAAAATCTTTCTGTTCTAGTTAACGACCCTAATTCCAATCGATCTTTGCCTTCAGCCCTTAAAGAAAGTATGTTTTAGTTCTGGTTTCATCAGCAGATGGCGCCAATAGTTTATCTCCTGTCCAGGCTTTCTTATCTAATCATTATATCTTATCTCTTTCATTTGGGCTTTTGCAGCTGAGGATGATGGTTCGGTAAAACCATCGAAACTAGTCCTGTGAAAATTTGAAAATATAACGCTGATTTTTGTTGTTTGACTTCTAAATTAATATTTGTTCGGCGTGTTATTGTATCTTAAATAAACCATTTCTTGACATTTAGGAAAAAGTAACCTGTCCCCTTCCAATTCCTGTTTAAAGTCTATTTACACAGGTTATATGCATACGTATAGCAAATCGATAACTGGCAGTCAGCAATTAAAAACTACTCTGAAAATAACATTAATGCAACGAAAGCGTCGACTTTCATCTCAGCACGACTCCATATTTTCTGCCAAAGAAATAAAGAAATCCTTTCAGTAAAATTAAAAAAAAAAAAAAATTATAAAATATAAATTTACAGCAATAAATTTGCCTAAATTAATGCAATAAATAGCCATTACGTGGACTATGGGATATTCACACGGAAATGATTAAGAAATCATTAAAGAGAAAAGAAAAGAAAATGACAGGAAACATTTTTGAAACCATGTGAGTGTAAATTACTTTTTCTTCATAGCTGAAACAATAGCATAACAGAAAGATGAAAGTAATGCCGTGGTAACTTTCAGATTGTGACCATTATTTGATAATTTTACCATATGCTCTGTTACTTCAAACGATTCTCCGATATCACGTGTATCTCCTTAAAAGAGAAAAGAATATTTCGATGACTGTTTATCTTGCAAGAATTTTTTTTTTAAATATTTATCCGTCAGTGGTTTAATGAGCAGTACCTCTAGCTAGCAGTTAAAAGATCTCTGATTTATTTCCAGCGAGGTCGCGGTTGAGCCTTTCAGGTTATATATATATATATAAACTTCACGGTTCTACAGAGTTATTTGAACTAAAATGTTGTGAACAATGATTCCTTTCCTACTTAATCTGGTCGACTAGACCTCATGCTGCATTGGCCATTTAGGTGGAGGGATGTAAAAACTTTCTGTGCGTCTTTTTTCGTTCTGTAGTGACAGCACTTGGAAGGCCTTGGGTTCGATTCCTGACAAGAGGGTACGTTTGACTTTTTGTGGTTTCTGCATTAAAAAAAACCCCACTAATGACGACTCTGTAACATTACATTCATTTTTCTATCGCAGGTTACAAATACATCAGGTAAGCTATAATAATAAGCAAGTATGCACACAAAACATATATATAAAATATCTTTTTTGGACTAATACATGTTGAAATTTCTAAACTGTTACTATTTCTTCCTTTTTGTAACATCCAGTTCGTTCTTAAATATTTAAAAAAATTTTTTTCACTTAAGTTTTCTTTCCAACTTTTCACCTCAGAAATAAATAAACTCAATTTTTAGCATTTTCTAATTTTTTCTTTTCCTTTTCAGGGAGTAACGCTTGCTGTTTGCGCATATGGGGAAAGAAAGGTGCACCGTTCCTTCAAGGTCTTCATTTTGCATATGGATTAGGTGGATTTTTTGCTCCTATCTTAGCTGCCCCCTTTTTGTCTGCACATGTTCCAACTACTACCGATTTGTCTCTTCTTGGCGTCACGCACAATTTTACCAACGAGTTACCAGCTTCAATTAATTTTCCTCAGAATATCAGCGATCTCGAATTAAGAATTACGGCCAGTGAAACTCATACTATTCCTACAATAACTGTTGCATATTCAATCATAGGCATACTTGCAACACTTGTTACTGGATGCTTTACATTTGTGTATATCTTCGCATCTAAGGAAAAAAGTGCCGCTGAAAATAGCGAACAAGAAAGTACCAGAGATCCCGGTCGATTGTTCACCTGCCTTGTAGTTATTCTAATATGCTTACAAACTGGACTAATATCTGGAGTTGAAGTTAGTTTTACCCAAATGCTTACATCATACGTAGTGAAAAGTATTCATAGTTTATCCAAAGTTACGGGTTCTTACATGACATCTGTATACTGGGGAGCCTTCACGCTAATGAGAGGCTTATCCATTATTTTAGCGTGCAAAATTAGCGTAAAAAGTTTGTTGATTTTTGATCTTCTTTTATCTGTTGCAGCGGCGTTAGTACTATTAACAATTGGAACATGGTCAGTCACCGCTCTTTGGGTGGGTACTGCCATGTTAGGTATAGGCGTAGCATCAATCTTCCCAGCATCTCTATCATGGGTTGAAAAGTACATCAATATCAACAATAGAATTGCTTCAATTTTCACACTAGTTTCCAGCATCTTGGAGATGACAGTTCCACATTGTATTAGCATCTACCTCGGTTCACAACCTAATGTTCTATTTCAATTTATGACGGGAGCTACAATTTCAAGTAGTGTGCTTTTTATTATTTCGAACATAATCTTTACGCGTAAGGGTGAAAAATACATCGGTGACAAGAAAGCAACATCTGCTTCTAAAGAAGAAAAAGAGCCAACTGAAAAAAATCCAGCTGTTTCAGTTTAAATTGCACTTGCAATAGCTAACTGTATTAGGGACAATTGTTAAAGCACAGATCTGTTTCCATGTATTATTCATTTTATCATTTATTTTATGGTGGTTGGAAAGTTTAACTATGAGCCAGAATTATGTAAATAATCCATTTTACATCTTATCATAAATTCTTTACATACGAGTATGTTTTAACTAAGATCGGCTATTCGATCTTATTTTCTTGTGATACAATTTAGAAGTGATAACATATGCAACAAATACGATCCAAATAAATATATTTTACAACTTCAAATGTATGTTCACTTCAGTGCATGCACACACAAAGAAGAGCACAATATAGTGATGCATAGCTGGTATTCACAACTTCTAGACTTTAATTTATCATTAGATTGGTTGAATAAATAAGGTCTAATTATCGAAAATTAGATACTATCTAATTATCGAAAATTTTTTATTGAATTGTGTCATTTATTATAGAGAAACTAAAAATGTACAAAAATACAGATTTCTCAAAAACTGTGACATAAAGCGAATGAATTTATTTGGAGTAATAATTTAGGGTATTTAGGTATATATTTGGGTACATTATAACGTATAATATAAATTGAAAAACTGAATACAAATGCATAAACTATAAAATTGTATTTTGAAACAAATAAAACTGAAATAATATGAGACAACGGAATCATAGAAAAAATATATTTCACATCTTCAGAAACAAATGCAGATTTTTGCAGATGGCAAATGCGAGGGAGTTATCCATCGATCATTATTCCTTCTCATACCATCACATGCATGTTCACAAAGCCTACAGACCGTTTCCTCTACTGTTTGCTCCGATTGGTTAAAACAGAAAACGTAGGTTTACAGAATCTTGTGCTTGGCAACTTTTGCTTCATCGCCTTTGCTATTTGAATATGAGTATTGTGTACCGCAAAGCGTGTGAAAATAATGGGAGAAACCGCAGTTAAGCGGTACGGTGCACGGAAGAAATTCTCAGACTTCTATCCCTGATCGTGACTTTTACAATCTCTGCACGGATTAATCTTTATTTTTATGCTTACTTGAATGACTTTGTCATTATCGGTCTTTTTGCCTTCGGGTACGGTGTTAAAACTTCAACACCTTTATTTTCTCTATTTTTGTTAATGCTAATTTTTCTTATTTTTATTTACTGGTTTGTACTCTTTGTAGTAGGTACCAGTAGCATGATAATGATCCAAGATCCCGAAAAGCGTTACAATAGAAATAGCGCACAATGGAATAAAATATAATTTTATTTATAATTTAAGTAAAAAAATAGGCATCCGACGCCCTTAAATGTTTATTGAATGTTTTCATTTGGTTTATTTTTTTTAATATTCCTTTATTTGTATAAATTAATGCGATATGGAAATTTACACAATAGACTCTTTCAAACAGAAATGACGAAAAAGTAAGTATACCATTTCCATGTAAACACTTTCTCTTAGAACAATTATCGTACTTTTAAGTGTTTAAACTCATTCTTTAACCAAATACAAATAAAATATTAGTATGATCATTAGGTTATTTAAAACATATTTCACACAGTTCCCCTTAGCTTTCATTCATCATAAAAAAAAAAAAAAAAAAAAAAAAAAAAAAAAATATCGAATGAAATAAACGCTGTTTCTCCTCGTTTTACTGAAAGCCCACAAGGTTTGTTTGGCGTTAATTATCAAGCGTACAAGGCGATAACTCGCCATTCCAAATATGACCGCCAAGCAGATGTTTTATCCTATGAGAGCAGACCGTAGAAGAAAAGGTCTGTAGGCTTTGTGAATATGCCCATCACATCTGCCACCAATGTAACGGCCATATTCCCTAATGCTGGTGGGAAATGGCTTCCTTTAGATGTAAGAGCATTTAGAAGCAGATATTAAACTGAACTTCGACTTGTTATGGAAGGACTACACTGGTGTGCAAAAATTAAGGACGAAGTCGAAAAATTAGCATATCAGCTGAACGAAGAGGCAGAGCGGACAGAAAGACCAATCAGGAGATTAAGTAAGGTACGGTAGCACATGCGCAGATATGCAGGTAGACGTAATGGGGGAGTGTCTGAGTAGTATAAAGCATGTTTTCGGTGTAAGATCAGTATTTCTGGCAAAGAGATTGCACGCCGTATAGCAGTTAAAATCACACCGAGTTGCTGCCTCAGCGAGAAATGGCGAATAATCAATCTGTTAGACGACATCTGGATGCTTTTACCCGAGGTCGAATCATTGGGAAGTTGGAGGAAGGCCGCAGTGTGACAAGTGTGGCTGCAGAGTTCGGAATTGCTCACAGCATCGTTTCACGACTTTGGAGACAATTTCAAACTACAGGAACAGCTATCCGGGGGTTTAGTAGTGGTCGTCCACGAGGAACCACACCCGCAGATGACCGGTATATTGCCTTTCAGGCCAGAAGAAACAGGCGGCAGACAGCGGGAGAAATCGCTTAGACACACGACACAGGCGACTGGACGACCGATATCGCGTTTTACCGTGGCCAGAAGACTGCACGGTGGTGGTCTGTTTGCACGACGCCCTGTACGGTGTGTACCTCTAACGCCTGCCCATCGGAGAAGGCGTTCTCTGTGGTGCCGGGAAAACCGGAATTGGAGAGACAATGAATGGGGACGAGTACTCTTTACAGATGAGAGCAGATTCAGTCTAAGTAACGATTCTCATCGCATACTCATCTGGAGAGAGCGGGGAAGCCGCAATCATTCCTCGAACATCATTGAAAGGGACAGGTATGGAGGTGGCGGTGTTCTCGTTTGGGGAGGCATCATGCTTGGTAGTCGTACAGACCTTCACATCTTCGACGCAGGTTCAGTCAACGGGACCCGTTATTGTAACGAGATTCTTCTTCCATATGTGCGTCTTTTTAGAGGCGCTATGGATCCGCAGTTCCTTTTCATAGACGACAATGCACCATGTCATCGCACAGTAGCTGCCGAACAGCTCTTAGAGAGTGAGGATATTGAACGTATGGATTGGCCGGCACGATCTCCGGATCTCAATCCCATCGAGCATGTATGGGATTTTCTAGGCAGACGCTTGGCAGCTCGTACCTTACCACCAGTAACGATTCCGGAGCTTCGATTAGCGCTGCAAGACGAATGGGCAGCAATGCCTCAACAACTCATTGATACCCTCATTCTCAGCATGGGCAGACGCTGTGAAACCTGCCTAGCAGTCAGGGGAGATCATATCCCCTATTAAAGACCGGATGTTTCTTGCTGGACACCCATCACAGGGATGTTTCGGCCTTCAGTCGCATTGCGCTCCATGCTACTTTTTCAATAAAGCTTCTTTTTATCCCTCCGATTTCTCTTTTAGTAAGTGTTGCTTACATTACTCATGTCCTTACGTATTGGGGATCTTACGATATTAAATGTGTTGATTTGGAAAGCTTTTGTACAAAGTTATATTGAAAAAACCGTCTCGTCCTTAATTTTTGCACACCAGTGTATTTCAGGCAGGCTTTCTTTTGTTTTGAGGTTAATGAAACAAGCAAATAAACAAACTTTGCGATTAAACATTTTGTTTATAGTTAGCCGCAATACATATCTTCCACAGGTGGATTTTGAGCTCTAAAGGCAATTGTCTAGAAGTGAAATTTCCGTTGTGATTTCCTAAAGACGGAAGCGGCTATTGAGATATAACCCCTCTTAAGACCTTATTCTGGTCCCCTAGGAGCCGTTGCAGAGTTTTAAAATTATTTCCCGACAGCTGAGAGTATGCCTGTCTTGAAACATTATTGAGCTATATGTGACGCTTACATAATTGTCTGCGGCCCACAGTTGTCCACTTCACACATTCTATCAAATGATATTTCGGCACTACGAATTTCTTTCGTTTTGCCATCGACAGAAAGCTGGTCTACAGATTAGGTGCTCATCAGCCTGTTTGAACCCGTTGATGGAATTATTTTTTTTTTAAATAGAGCTTTCCTTTATTGACTTATGTGAGAAATGCTGAAAGAATGACCAAAACAAAGAAGGGAGTGTGCATGGTGGAGACACCAACACATTAAACCCTGAACTGCAAAAATTCGCGAAACAGTTTGTGCATCCCTTGCACATGATAACATCATACTATTATTTGCATTTCAGAAAGAGATTGATTAAATTGGATTGAGTAGCGATAATTAGATTTGCCTTTTGCTTACCCCATGAAAAATTAATCCGATTGGTTCGTCCGACACATATTTTTTATGCATGTAGATATTAGGCAATGAAGTGCAATTAGTATCTAATTACAGAGTTAACTGTTAATTATTATTTGAGAATGTGTAAAGCAAATGTTTGCAGATCTTTTACCTCCATTACAACCGCTATGACATAAATATTAAAGTCATGAAAATATTACAGCATAGTGGAATAATTTCTTTTATTTTTAATGAGCCTCATTAATTTAATGACTCCTACTTATTTAATAAAAGAAAAACTACACATTTTGAAATAGAATAAAAAGTTTTGTTGGAACATTAATAATACACGACTACTATAAATAGCTGTTCATATTTTTTTTTTTTTTTTTTTTTTTTTTTTTTTTTTTTGTGGGCTCCCAAAATAGGAATCTCAACTCTCCATACTCAAGTTTACTTTTTATTTCGTGCCACATAATAATATGCTCCTATTTACAATGTTACGCGAACTGTAATACAGTATAAAATACCCCATAACTTTAATAATATAAAAATGAGAAATGAACCTTTAATGTGTCCAAATGTTTGTTTTAAAATTAATGTGCTTTTTTACGTTGGGACAAACCTTTCACAATATTTGAGAAATAAGAGTTTATAAATGTCACACGCTACTCTTAATGCATCATGAAGATAAAAATCAGTAAGTCGATTTCAATATAAGCTCTTTGCGTATTGCATTTTGGAACTGGATGATTCACGGATATATTGATGCGATATTTTTTCGCATACTCGTCTTCCTTGTTTCGTCCAAATTGTCTTTTTAGTATCATATACTTAGTTTCTCTTCATACTTTTCCATCTGAGGAATAAATTTATTTTTACCTTGTAAACCACGATTGGTGGCACGGAAAGGTTCAAAGGCGCCCCCACTACCCATCACTATTAATTTCGCTAAATACTTTATTGGTTTTAGTAAAAATAAAATAACTCTTGGCTAAATGAAAAAAGAAAGATGCAAAACCTTTCCTCCGTTTAACCATCGCACTAAGTAGACAAAGAACGTCGCTAATTACTGATAAGTTTGTCGAACGATTTTAAATTTTCTATAATTCAGTTATTGCGAACTGATAA